CCACAACAACCGCTTCCCTCGCCCTTTTCGTTCTCTATCACTATAAATTATACTGCTGTATACCACACTTTGGTAGTCTACAAAATACTCAATACGGTTGTAGACACCACTTATATCCCCTCATGCTCTCTCACTATGTATATAATGTGCATTAAAATATTATACATTATTGTATATTGCAGCTATTTCTCTTATTTACAAGTTTTATTAATGAATACACGATAGATCGTGAATCGATGTAAGCTTACCTTGTTTCCAATCGATCCCGATTTTGAAGGTGAAGAAGATTGGGGCAACACTGGTGACAGGAATTGTGCATTCTGTTGACGGTTGCGCTGGTCAAGGTTGCTCAGCAGGCGGGTCTTAAAGTCGATCACCTGATTGATTTTCTGCAGATGCGTAAAAATAAACAAATAAAACGGTGCGATCAGTTTTCATTACAATTGTGTCAAGGAACGAATGGGAACTATGTAGTAGAGTGGAGCCTGTGTACGCTGCAAGAACGGTGCAGCTAGAAATTGTATAGGTCGAGAAGTGGTATTATATAATAAGTACCATGTTTTTATACGGAAATCTATGTTTTGTATCCGATAATTTTATACACAACTTAGTAATCAAATATTGCTGTATTATAATTTATAGTTTCAGTTAATGTGTGTTTTGGATATTTCGTCTTTATCTATCCACTAGCTACGTCGCTAATTTGAAGCATGCGCATAGGTATGATAGATAATATACTGTACCTGGAACAAAAAGTTGAGCAGCACCGCCTTGACGCCCAGAGCGGTGGCCGCCTTCACCGTCACTTTGGCCACCTTATGGACGGCTTTCAGTCCGACGAGACTGACGCCCAATGCCTTTGAGCCCAATCCAACAGCTTTGGCTCCGAACTTGGCCCCTGCCACCAGCTTGGCACCGGTGCCCAGCGCGACTTTGACCGGCAGAACGATGAGAGGCTTGAGTTTGAGCAACGTCCTTTTTTTCCTGACCAACACGGTCCTTCCGGAGGCCGATGCTGGTACATTAGAGTGAACGGCTGAAGCTCCTTGCCAACTGCTCGGCACTAATGGGGAAGCGGCAGCATCGGTCGATGCAGCGGACGACGCTGGACGTATGGCGGATGACCGAGC